CCGGCCCGCGGGCAGAATGAGACGGAGCCCATCGTGCTGGAGGGCAAGTGCCTGGTGGTGTGCGACTCCAACCCCACGTCCGACCCTACGGGCACAGCCCTGGGCATCTCTGTGCGCTCCGGCAGCGCCAAGGTGGCTTTCTCTGCCATCAGGAGCACCAACCACGAGCCGTCCGAGATGAGTAATCGCACCATGATCATCTACTTCGACCAGGTGAGAGATCCTTCCTCCCGCGGCGTGCAGATTGGGCTGGTGAGGGAGGGGTGGATGGAAGACCGATGCCCGGTCCTCTGCAAGGGCTCTGCAGAGGCGCGGGGACGACAGTCCGGGACCGATTGCTGCCCACTCCCCTTCGTTCCCGTCTCGTTATAGGTACTAGTGAACATTGGGAGCAACTTTGATTCAGAACGCAGCACTTTCATCGCCCCGCGCAAAGGGATCTACAGTTTTAACTTCCACGTGGTAAAAGTCTACAACAGACAGACCATACAGGTCAGCCGCCGCCTCGGGGCGGGCCCTGGCCCCGTAGCGGGGTTACTGGCCGCAGGGGTGCTCGGGCTGTCCGGAGGTGGTAGGCAGAAGTGGCGGCTGCATGTACTTCGGGCTGCTTGGAGGTACAGATAGCGAGGCCTCTCAGTTCTGTGGCTTCAACTGCCCTCTGCTTTCCCTGTCTCTGGCTCTTGGGATCCAGCTCCATCCCTCCAGAGACAGAATTTTCTGCTTCCACCTTCCGGGCCCCTCCGAAGGGTTCCCTGGATTGCAGGGACTTCCTTGTAACTGCTGTTGTTAGCGCCCCAGACAGCTGCCGCTTGGGGAGCCTTCCCGGACTTGGATGCTTGTCTTCAGCACCACGGACAGGGCCCCCGTTTTCTCCCACTTGCCCCCATCCCCACCCCGTGCGGACTCTGGGTTTTTGAGCTAGCAGCATTTAGCCCCGGGGGGTGAGGGGTGGAGAGAGAAGGGAAGGAGGGGGCGTTGTGCTACTCTTTCCCGGCTCCAGCCGTGTCCCAGCAAGCACTCGCCGGCTCTTAGGGTCCCCAGAGGTGTCCAGGTTTCCTTTGGGCGCCGAGAGAGGCGGGACGCACAGCTGGGGAGAGGGCGCGAGGCCCTTGGCTGACGGTGCCACCACAAGGGCAAAACCAGGCGGTGGCGGGCGCGGCTGGATAGGGGCTGGAATTGAGCCCGTGGTTTGGGGAGAAAATACATTGTGCCGCTCGGTGCGAGATTTCTAATCAGAAATCACAGTGGCTTCTCCACTGTGTTTTGGCAACTGGGTCCAGGAGGGATTAGGGGCTTTTTGTTTGTTCGGTTTTGTTTTTCCGGTAGCGCCGGAGGGAGCCTGAGTTGCTGCGGCTTTTTTGTTTGTTCTTTGTTTTTTGAGGCTGAGGGGAAACGGGAGAGAGGTCAAAGGTCTCAGGGCGCTAGAGCCACCTCATGGGTTTATTAAATTGGATCACAGAGCACAGTCGAGATTCCCTTGGCGCGCTCATTTGAGAAACTGGAATAAGAGCAACTCCCGTTTTGGGGACAGACCCTTCCTGTCACCCAGATGTGTGGTCTTTCGCCCCACTGGAGCCTCAGTAGTAAGCTCCAAAGCCCGTTTTCCACCATTCGCCCCCGCCCCCCGCCACCACCACTTCTCCGTGCTTCCAGGTCTTACAGGCTGTTAGCCAAGCAGGGGGAAGGTTCGCTCCACCGCGGCTTCGGTGCCTGCCTAGGTTGCGCCTCTGAAGCGGGCCTTTCTCTTTCTCAGGTGAGCCTCATGCTAAACGGGTGGCCGGTGATTTCAGCCTTCGCTGGTGACCAGGACGTGACCCGGGAGGCCGCCAGCAACGGAGTCCTAATCCAAATGGAGAAAGGCGACCGAGCATACCTCAAGCTGGAGCGGGGAAACTTGATGGGGGGCTGGAAGTACTCGACCTTCTCCGGATTCCTCGTGTTTCCTCTCTGACTGGCTCATAGCCTGAAGGGAGGCGGGGAGAGGGCGAAGGCAGAAAGGGGAGTGAAAAAGAGGCTGAAATTAAGAGGGAGAGAAAGCAGCACGACTTGAAACTTCCTACATGTTCTCTAACTGTATCTGGGTAAAAAGGTGCGCGCCAGCGGTGGGACAACTTTGTCCATTTCCTTATTAGGAGACATAAATTTCGCTTAGCTCTGCGCACTCCCGTTTCCAAAAATAAACTCGCCTCCCCCATTCCAGTTGCAGTAATCAAGAAAGAGACGGCCTTGTCATTGTTTCTTATCCCCCAACTTCATGTTCCCTGCAATTTATTTAAAGAAACTTTGTATTTCACTACATAATCTCAAATCTTTCTCCCTAGCCCCCTCTGAATCCTTCTGCCTACTGAAATCTAATATATTCCCCGCCCCCAACCTTTTTTTTCAGTTTGGAGAGGGGGTAAGTTTTGTTGTTGTTTTGTTTTGTTTTGTTTTGGATGGGGAAGGTAGTTTTAATTTGGCAAGTGTTGCTCTTCTTAAAACACTGCTCAAGTTAATTAGCTGAAGATACTTAGTGTCCTCGGCTGCTTGTTAGCAGAGAAAGGACTCACCTTAGTGGTGACTGGTTTAAAAAAATATAAATATATATCATTTGTACACGAAGAACTCTTGCCAGTGGAAATTGGCTGTGTTTCCGTATTTCTATGTCCTACTCGGAGTGATCGTGAAATCTAAGGCTGCTTGATGTTCTGATGCTTGTCAATGCCGTCGTGCTCTGCGGCTCAACGAAACGCCAAGGAGCTTCTTCGGGACGCTTCCTCTTCCTCTGTAACATACGTGTGAATAGCCAAGATTTAATTTTGCTTTAATCTAATAAAGTCGAAGCGGGACTTTTATTTTTCTGAAACAGCTTTCTAAACTCCTCATCTTCCCCAGCTGGGAGGTTGGGGGTCGTGGGTGCCAAAGGGCGAGGTTCTGAAGGGCAGGAGACTTGGGGGAAGGCCACCATAGAAAGGCCTGGGCGCGAGGGCTTCCTCGCAAAGCCAGCCTTGCGCTCCTTCCTGTGCCAGGCCAGGGGCCAGCACTGCATTCGCCTGTGTTTACAGCTTTGACGCAAACGTAAGAAACGTGGCCGAAATCTTCCTTGGCCAGGCGCGGCCGCTGACCCGGGAGCGAAGTTTGATTTTTTTTCTTTGCGTTCCAAATGCATCAGGAATGGTTCCAGTTTGAGGACCCAAACCACTCTACCTGGGGCGACAGACTCCTCACGCCTTCTGTCCCCGGATGTCTCCCACCGCGTCCGCCCTGCAGTTCCCGAAGCAGCGTATGTTTTATACACCGCCTCTGAATCCGGAGTCCACCCGCCGCATACTCGGGCGCCCAGGACCTATGATTCCGCTCATTCACAGGACTTTATTCAAGAGGTTCGTCCAGGAGTTTTAATTGTATCGGAACATAATGTGAAAGCAAAATTGAAATAAACGACTTCGTTTTAAGTCTGGAAGGCTGACCCAGTTGCTTCGGCAGCGGGGAGGTCGGGAGCCGGAGCGAGTGGGCATCCTGGGGCGAAGGGCCGGGAGCTGGGAGCTGCAGCCGGGTGGTCCCCTGCAGTTGTGGTTCCTTTCAGAGAAACTTTTTCCTGGCCCAATATTCAGTAATGAATTTTATTTCCTTTAGGGGCATGGGGAGAAGGGAGAGTTAGTAATAGCACAATAAGCAACGTTTCTCGGATTTATCCCAGCGGCTGGTTCGAGTTAGAAATTCACGGTAGAAATTCACGGAGCACCGGGCCTCTGTTGAAACCCAGGCCCGTTTCTTCTCCGCATGCAATCCGGTAAGCCGCGGAGCAGCTATAGCGGGAGCCCTTCCAACCCAGTGGCTCCGGGACCCGCAGAGATAGATAGGGACTCACGAGTGAGGAGTGGACCCCAGTACTTTTCTGTTTCTGCCCAACAGTTTCCCTTCTACCCTGTCAGGCCCCAGGGAAGTGGGAATGAGAAGAAATAAGGGACCTTAAAGGGATTTAAAGAAAAACTGTTTTTAATAAAGAGACGCGCTTTTTCCGAAGCCTCCTGGTTGGGAAGGAGAGGTCGGAGACAGTTGGAGCCTTTGGCAGCGAAACTAGCTCCACCCAGCAGCTCTGCCATTGCAGGGCCAGCCCTTTGGGCTTGTGGAGACCCTATAGTCAGTGGGTGAGTGTAAGCTCGAGGCTCTAGGGCCGCAAAGGTTGGAGAGCCACCGCTCGAGGAAGCTGCCCCTGAACGCTTTGGCGCTCCCCGGGCTGCAGGTGGGTGGGTCAACTCTCTTTCTGAGGGCGAGAACCACCAGGGTTCTGGTTTCCGTGGCTGCCTGTTCTGTGGGGTCACCAGGCTGTGTCCCAGTGGAGTGACTTTGGCAAGTCCGCTTTCAGGCACTAAAGTTGCCCATTTATATAAAGACAGGGAGAAATCTAAAGACCTCTCAGAGTTCCTCCTGCTCTGTGGATCCAGCCCTCCTCTGCTCCCAGACTGGGAGTCTGCAGATTCTTTTGCCTAGGTGAGTGAGTCCTGGCTGCAGCCTGTGCTTACCTGGCTGCCAAGTGGCAGCTCCTGAGTACTAGGCCTTGGGCTAGGGTGCAGGCCAGGGGAAGCCTGTGTCTCCCGGAACTGGGACTCACTTCTGAGCCCCAGCTCTGGAGCCTGGAAGGTGAGTACAGTGGGAGCAAATTGTCCCCAAATTGGAAGAAGAGGGGTTGGTTTTCCTTTGATTCTGCTGTAGCTCAGCAGACCTCCTTCCTGGGAAAGGATTCCTGCCTCCCACAATGTCCGAACCTAGTATTGGAGAACCTTCTTAATTGGGCTCTAGCCTCCCTCTTCTTTCTCCACTTGCTGACCCCTTCCCTTGCCATCTGATGATTCCACCTCCCATTGTTGTCTTTATGCCTCCACACCTGCTGTTCCTGGTTGAAGTTGAAGCACCCCTTCTCTCCTCCAGTTTGCAAAGTCCTATCCTGCTGAGGACCCAAGAAGTCCAGCTGAAAGGCTGCTTGCTCTGGGAGGAGGTTCTATCCACACAATACAGGCATTGCTTCTCCGAGGTTCAACACCCCTTCTGCACCTTCCAACTAGGCCTTGTTTTGTGCTGGTTGGGAAGGGAGACATCTGGGGCTGAGCTTGTCTCTTACTGTGTGGGTTCCATGGGGGCAGAGAGAGCCCACACAGCGCTTAGCCTGCTAACCTGGCATCCCCACCCCAGAGGGCCTGGGGAGATGTGGGGCTCCATGTCTCCCAAACTGCCCTTACTGCCAGGCCTGAGCCTACCGGTGGCCTGAGTGGGGCTGCGGATAGCTCTCCCCAGGGACCTAGAGGTTTGAGTCCTTAGGGTCCTGGCAGGTGTGGTTGGGCCACCTCCCTCACTTCTGGGGTAAAGGTGAGGTGAGTGTTACTTCTGCTAGAGGCAGGGGAGCCATCTTCTGAGCACTGGGCTTCAGCCGGAAGGGAACCAGAGACTTGAAGACTGAGAGAGATGGAAGAGGAGGAGCACTAGGTAGAGACTACCTTCCTTCCCCCAGCCAGAGGTTAGGGAGGGGACCCATTCGGAAACCCATACCTCACAGTGGCATCCTTTCATGCTTAGAATCCTTTGGGCCCTTCTGGATCTGGGGCCCGCCTCTTGCTTTCATCTAAAATAAACCCCTTCAGAACAAAGCCTGTAGGGGTTCCAAAACCACCCCTTCATTCAGCCTTACCCTGGTCCCGAAGGCTCCTCCCCAGCCCAGGTCACCTTGGTCACCTCCTCCCGGAAGCCTTTCATGCCTTTCTTCTCCAGCCTCCCTCTTTGGAGTGTGGCCTCTCTTACCAGCCTGCCTCCTCCCTTTCCGCACCCCGCCAATTCTCCCAGGGCAGAGGCTGTGTCTTATTCTGCGCAGCGTTTCTGGCACCCAGCCAGGCTTAAAGGTACGGTGAGTGGAACTCAGGGAGGCTTCTAGGACCCAACGAGCCCAGACCTTCTCCGCCCGGGTTCTCCACACCTCGCTAAGCGGCCCGGGAGCCGCGCAGGCGAGGAGCCGAGGGTGTTCACTGTGGTCTCTGCTGGGTTGCGCTGGGCCACGCACCGGCCCCCCAGCTCGCTTGCTCCCCGGCCGCCGCTTCCACCGTAAGCCGAGCTGGGAGCGCGCCTTTCAAGCTGCTCTGGAGCGCTAATGCTCAGAGACCGGGCGCATCCGCTCTTAATGAGAACATAATTACCCAGATGGAGAGGGAGCCTCACCCCTCGCCTTAATTGTTGCCTTAATGGGGTGGTAGTAGGGGATAGTGCGGGGCGGAGGGAAGGCGTGGGACTCTCCCACGGGTTTCAGGTTGGGTCCTGGGGCGGGGCGGACTCAGTGGAAGGCGAAAGACCCTGAACTGCAGACGTGTGCGCTGCACTTGGCCTCTGGCTTCATATGAGACCTTAGAATACTCCCCGAATCCCAGCCTTACTTTTTTTCAACTCACAAATGCGAGAGATGGGCTAGAAGACGTCTAGTGCTACTTCCAGGCGGTCTTACTTTTATGATCAGTGTGGGTGAGTTTAAGCCTTCATCTTGGTGTCCAGCCACCTGTCTCCCACAGGTGCTGGGCCTAATCACCTCAACAGGCTTTCAAACAAAACATTGAAACCTAATACTGATTCTGGGTGGGAAAGTGGGCAGGGGGGCAGTGGTGCCCCGGAACCAAAGTTCAGGCACAGCTCCCTTTGAGCTAATTCCACGGAGAAAAAAACAAAACAAGAAAACAAAAAACAAACAAACAAAAAAGGCGGGGGTTGGGGTGGGATTGCCCAGGGTCATTTACAAAGATCTCTCAATCTTTTTGCATAGCGGATACATACGCACTCCCGGAGAGCCTTAGCGTCCTCGCATTTCAAATGGGAACAATAATGCCTTCACAACTGGGTAGTCGTGAAGACTGTGCTAAAAGGTCCAGAAAGTGCTCACCACTGCCTGACACATAGTAGGTGCTGAATAAAACTAGCAATACCAAGGAGCGATCAACACTTGGCATATCCCACAATCACAGAAACAGGATGTAGAGGAACATGTGGGTAATCCCAGCGGCATCAAACATATGTGAAAACTGAAACCAGAGAGCAAGTGAACCTGAATGGTGGATGTAGGAAAAGGACCCTGTGTTCTTTCTTGTTCCTGCATACTGATCCCATCCTCACCCACATCAACCACAAGCATAGGAGATTTTACCCCCTAAATATCTTTCCTCTTCATCCCTTTGCTTGTATATTTGCATCGACCACTGTGGATGAATGTTCTCTGCGTGTCTGTAGACTCTCCCATCAGACCAAGAGCTCTGTTGGCATGTCTGTGTCCCTTCAGAGGGTGAGCCCTTCAGAGTGAGAACTGTGTCTTCCTCATCTTGCCTGGTCCTGTGCTACCTACACAGTGCCTGGCACAGAGCAGGTGGCCTGTGATCATGTCATGAGCTAACCCAAACTGTGTCTGGCACAGTTGCAGGATATGGACACAGCCAATGAAAGTGCCCTTCAGGGGACTTCCTGGACCTCTCAGTCCCTCCTGTCTCCCCACCCCCTATATCACTAACAGGAACAATGCTGAAATGGAAGCGCTCCCAGATCCTGGGCAGAGACGGAAACCTTTCTAGGTACCTGCACTTGCTTTTATCCCCTCTTCCCATTTCAATCTGAGCCCAGCCTGTCCCCAGCAAGTCCCAGCTGTGATCCTGAGAAGGCAGTGAGCAGGGACAATGAGAAAGAGGCCAGAATCAGATGTATGGGCTGGTATTTGGATTTATTGCTAGGTCTTCTCACTGGAAAAAATGATTTGCTGTGCATAGATGAGGCTGCCTGCACTTCAGGAGGCAGCAAGGAAACACAACGCTGCTGATGTCAAGAAGGAGAGCCT